CCCTTTTTTGTTTTTTTTTCTTTTTGTTTTTTGGGGGCGGGGGGGGGGGGTTACTATTCGCTCCTTTTCAAACTGTCCTGATTTTGGGCGCAGTTTTTTTTTTTTTTCAATTGTGTCGAAATTACGGAGTGGCCCATCCTTTCCACTGTCCTCTCCTTGTTTTGTTTTGGATTAGTTTGTTATTGTTTGTTTGTTGTTGTTGTTGTTTTTTGGGGGCGGGTTGTTTTGTTTTGTTCTTCATTCAAAATTAATTCATGAATTATATCTGTTTTAAAACAAAGCTGAGAAAAAAATGAAGAAAAAAAATATTCTCTAAAGGCGAAAGGGTGAGGTGAGCGACAATCGTATAAGGAGGGGGGGGGGGATGGATGAAGTAAGGGAAATGAGTAAAGTGATAGAAAATCGGGTGAAGTGAGGGAAAAGAGTAAAGTGATAGAAAATCGGGTGAAGTGAGGGAAATGGGTAAAGTGATAGAAAATCGGGTGAAGTGAGGGAAATGGGTAAAGTGATAGAAAATCGGGTGAAGTGAGGGAAATGGGTAAAGTGATAGAAAATCGGGGGAAGTGAGGGAAAATCGCGTAAAGCGCCTTTTCAAGGATACAAACACCAGGCCCCTGACGATGTTCGATCGAACCCATGATCATCTTTCAGTTGCGAACCCAACAGGCTAGGGTTAGAAGCTTCTGCTCCTTCTCTTCATCTCTTCATACTATCGTAGTCCAACCAAAGAGCCCGAGACAGTCTCGGTCCAGGCAGTGAAGGAGTTAACTAACCGTTGTTCTGGAATGTCCCCTGTGACCTGTCCAGGTTCACAGACTTCAGCCTCCTGGACGAGCTGATGCAGGGTATCCCTGGAGTGGACAACACCCCGTCTGCCTCCCTGGCCCGGGGATATGCCGGTGACCTCTACCCCGGCAACTCCAGTGGCCAGGAGCACACTCTACAGGAAGGGTTCTACCATCGCTGGTACAAGTTTGCCAGGAAGGGCGCCATGGGATCAGCCGTGAGATATAGATATTATTATTATTACTATTATT